CCCCTCTCTACCGAATTAAGCTGCCTCCTATATGATCTATACTTTCGTATGTCCCTAATTAGCGCAATCACTTTTTTTTTTCTAGATTAAAAAGTAACGAAACGGTAGTTAAAGTTTGCATGGCTCGCGGTGAATTTCATGAGAAACTTTTCATCACGGGGAACTGGAGAGGAGGTTGAATCCAGGCTTACCCGAAACCGCATTCGATCCTGTTGAATCTGCTGTAGTGGTAGTGCTGGAGGATGACGTAGTGAGTGAATTTCCAGAATGAGAGTCGTTTCGCTTGCTGGAGTTAGTCCATGGTGTATAGGTGACATATATATGAGTGCACCGATAGACGTCACTGGTACAACCCTCCCTACAGGAACTCCAAGTGCAATTGAACAGTCCAGCCAGCTCCTCGCGTCTCGAGGTCGTGCAAATCACTGGGTCTGGGGAAAAGTCAGCTGCTAGGGTGCTGATGGCTGGATCGACGTACAACGGTACCAGGAAGAGGAGCGCCGCACCACCGGAAGTAGCAACCAAGGCTAGAGCGGAAGTCGCATAAAAATTGAACCGCTGACGGCAAGTACGCCGTGGCGGTCGGCGCCGCGACGCGCCGAACCCGAGTTCCAACAGTTTGCGACGTCGTAATTCTTGCTGCTGAATGTCGTATTTTTGCGTATCCTGGCTCTGACTAGCGTCCAACAGAAGTTCCGAGCTACTTCCACGCATCCCCCAGAAGGACCTTCTCAATCTTTAGGTCCACTGGATTCAGATTCACGTAACCTTCGGTCAATGCTACCAACAGTATAGAGCTCGTTGTCTCTATGTTCTTAATATTTCCGGTGGTCAGGGTTGATTTCGTGCCCGAGAAAAAAACGTACCTTGTAGGCTTGTTCATCGAGTACAATACTTTTAGTCTAACTTCTGACTTCTCGTCGAGACTTTTATCCTCTTCTTTTCTTCAACGTATCAGACTTTTTTGTCCATGGGAAATTGGAAGTTTATTGTCTACGTGATCTGTTATTTTCGATTTTCTGCTTTATGGATTCTTCGTTGAGAGACTCCCAGGAATTGTTTTCTTTGACGTTTATTTCTGACATCGCAAGATTCAACGGTCTTGTTGCTTTTGACTTTTCAATTTTAACTCTGTCGATTGACAGTTGTAAGAAATCTTTATTTTCATGGAATGTGTTACAAGATGTTTCATGTGATCGATGTCTGTAAGGTATCAATCAAAATTTTCATTAATTGAACTCTACAGTGTTTCCGTGGGAGTCTACTGTTGTCATCATCGATTGACTCTGCGACGATTTATAAGTATCGATCGATTACGTTATCGACTACGAAAACCCAAAAAGGATAGTTACTATTAACCCAAGGTAGTCGATGTTTCTCCAAATCGATCGCAGTTCACCAGACCACTGCTTGAATCGACCCTTTTTACTGTTCATTTCGATGTCGCGAAACCTGTGGTGTCACTCCTGACAGGATCGTTTTTACGAAAGATTAACCGTGCACGTTACCAACATTCTTTTTCCGACGATATACAATCTCCATTTGATAAATTGACGGGAGACCCAAAAAAACTGTCGCTGTCGATACACAGAACAAGAACCACCATACAAAAATTAAATAATAATTTGATCTATAGTTTCATCCGTGGACACTTCTTACTTAATTGGAATATAAATATCCGAAGATCCATGGACAAAATCTTTGATAAAAAGGCTTCTTCTAATTAGTATTGTCCTGCGCCCGATCATAGAACGAATCCCACAATATTCCGATCCAATGAATAATCCCTATTAACTCTGCTTTGAGAAGCTTTCATAAAATAGCTTCCTCTATCCTTTTCACGTTTCCTTTCCTTCTCCTTCTTCTCTCCGTTCTTTCTTTCTCGCCTCTCTTGCGCTCTGCCAATCAGCATCGGTTTTCCCCTTTGCTCTTGTTCGTTGCCTTCCGTTTTTATTGTCTCTCCTCACTTTCCGCGCTTCTCTCGTACTGATCAGGCAAAGCGACACGATCCGATCGATGTCGAATGATCCCTCTATCGAATTATCAAATTCTTCTACGAGAGAATGAACACCGAGATATCGCGATTGTGATCATTACCAAATACGAAGGAACGAGAGTCTGGATTTCGATTTGTTCTCCGGTGAATCATGCTCTCGCGGAGCGCGAGCTAAAACGCGACTATCACTTCTCTCACTACCTTCTCACGTTCTCAGCTCTCGGCAGCTTTCGGTTCTCGGTTGTCCGTTGTCGAAAGCAGCCCTTGTGGCAGCCCGCGCCGCGATAGGGCGGGGTTCACAGTGCGCATGCGCTTAGTACCCCCTCCGAGAATCCTCTTGTTTACGCTCCCGAGGTTCCCACTAACCTCTCGCACCCTTTGTGTCCCCTGCTCTACCCTCTTGCACTATCGCCCTCCTATTCCGTTCTCTTCCCCATTATCATCTTTTAATTGCGCTCCGTAATTAAGCTAATTTGTATTTTTTTTTATTTGGATTTACTGAGCCTGTGACCATTTCATATCCAAGATACGGCACTACACTGGAATTTCAGCCGTTCGACTATTTTTCTTTTCTCTTTTGATTTGCGTGATGGATTTTTGCTGGCGTGCGCCCGGGACTCGTTTCATAATCAGATTGTCAACTATAATTGTGAACTTGAATTCCTATGGTGAAGCACGGCATTGCGGCGTTACTGGTACGTTGATTAATTCTTTGGCTTGTTGAATTTTTGTAATATTTTGTTCTTTCGTAACATAGCTCACGAAGTTACTAGATCGGTTGAATATAGAATGTTAGGCAGAGAACTGACTCCCTCACTCTGATTTTATCGAGACTTAACGAGCGCGATACAGCAGAATTGACAACAGCGTTGCCGATCGGCCTAGATCAAAACTCTGACCTTAATTTATTGCTTCAAATATGACGTAATGTTGAGATAAATATATTTGTTTTAATATTCCCAGATGGTTATTTTTACGACGATTTTTATCGTGTAACAATAAATCTAGTTGTCGCAAGAATATTAAAAATTTCATAGCACATTATCGATATTCGAATTAAAAAATATTATGGAAACGAATTTTGTTAATGGCGTCCTTCGAAATTTTTTAATTGTTTTGTATTCCAGGAATGTAGATAATATTTTCAAATGGACTTGGAAAACAATACTAAATAATGCATTATCAGATCATTTTAATACAGAACTATGTTCTTATTCGATTCAAATAATCCAAATAAATCGCGGACTGGATGTGACGACAGAAAGAGGAAAGTTCGCGGTCTCTAATTGGTCGACTGACTTCAGCGCCATGAAAGTGTCGATGGTAACCAATAGGAATAAATGGCGCGCCTTTATTCACGACCGCAGCCAATAGCGTTACCCCAGAATGCAGTGCGTGACGTAGCGTCCAGGGTAGAGGGGGCTAATAGCACTCCAATGATTTCCTGGTCGGCCTGGCCGTTTCTTTCCGTTGACAGACGCCATAGTGGTAGGGTCGTTTCGAAGCAAGCGGAACGTTGATACTAGAAACAGTAACTTGCTCGGGCAGAGTCAGTTTTCTACTGACTCTCAGGTGATTTCGTGAATTATGGCCGGTGCGGAAGCGGCGGGCGTTAAGCAAGAGGTGCAAAATAATGCGCCGCCTGAGAATGCTACTGAAAATGCACGAGAACGCGTTGGTCCTGGAGGAGGTGGTCGTGGCGGAGGTCGCGGTCGTAAAGGCGGCACGCGTTTCTCCGGTGGTCGCGGTGGTGGCGGTGGCGGAGGCGGTGGAATGCCTACAAGAAACGACGGACCGGTAAGAAAATTTGTAAGTTTACTTTTCTTATTCTTCAATATTCTAACGTTAAGATTTGTTTGTCCCTTATATCACATTATTTTTTTATGATAGTATTTCTTACTTTTCTTCGTTAGATATTTTTCTAAGTTACCCCCATATTTGGAAAAAATCTAGAGAATTGTACGAGGATAATGAGTTTAATTTCGTTAAAAAGACTGGTACTTGTTACCTAAAAAGCATTTCGCTTAATTTAAGCGGAAAAACATTCTCATGTTTCGCGTTCCTTTGGTTCATTTGATTATAAATTAACTAGCTGTTTTCGTGTACAAAGTGTGTTTGAGGAAATTTTATTATCGATTTTGCACGCGGCATAGCATTGTACAAAATGGCGTCGTTTGCGCTTGAAATGGTGCCGCATGCGCACTCGTGACTACAATGTATTTCCGTCTTACAAAGTAACAAGTTCCTATTCATGCGTCCTGAGTGCAACACGGTTTGTAGGCTACACAAATTAGATTGAAACTAAATTTGAATAATTTAAAAAAACAAATTTCAACGAATTGTTTTCATGTCTTTTCTTGAATGATTTTAGCCCAAAATGAATGACTCCATGGATGTTAGCATGGACAATTCTATTTCGGAAAGTGGTGGTGGCCCCGGCGTCGGTGGAGGAGGCGGCGGTGGAGGTAGTGGCGGAGGCCCAACTCCTATTATTGGTGGCGGTGGCGGCGGTGGAGGCGGCGGCGGCGGAATGGGAATGGGAGGAGGTATGGGTATGGGTATGGGTGGTATGGGCGGCGGCGGTATGGGAGGAGGTATGGGTCGAGGAGGTCCCATGCGCGGCGGCCGCGGTGGTGGCGGAGGAGCGCGAGGAGGTGACAGAGGAATGGGTGGCCGCTCACAGGACGTAAGTAAATAATTTTTTGTAAAACACGAATATAGATTTAACAGATAAAGGTATTATGGCACATACGCTTTTTTCATATATTGCAGGATCGATTGATGGAGCGTATAATGAGTATTAGTGGACCAACACATGAGTTGCCACCTCAAGACTTGACGGAAAAGAAATTCAGTGGACGAAATCGATTGTACATCGGAAATTTAACTAACGACGTCAGCGAGGAAGAAATTCGGAATATGTTTGGTCAATATGGCGAAATTTCTGAATTATTCGTTAACAAAGAAAAGAACTTCGCCTTCTTACGAATGGTAATTAACGTTGGCATTATATCCAGATAAGATATATTTTTTATTAAACTTTTACATAAGATTAGTTCTAGTTATTTAAATGATTAAAATAATTACCGTTTGATTATACCGTGATGATAATCATTATGGCTGCTTTTTTTTATGATATAATTTGATTCTAATGATTATCTCCTCGTTGTGCATGAATTGCTTCTAAATTATTCTAAACTTATATTCTAGGACTATCATCCGAACGCTGAAAAAGCGAAGCGTGAGCTGGATGGCACGATGCGCAAAGGGCGTGCTCTCAAAGTACGTTTTGCGCCTCACTCGTCGTCTATAAAAATAAAGAATTTGACGCCGTGGATTTCAAACGAGTTGCTCGAAAGATCCTTTAGTGTATTCGGTGAAATTGAACGCGCCATTGTGATAGTCGATGACAGAGGGAAGACTACCGGGGAGGGAATCGTCGAATACAGCAAAAAACCATCTGCCCAAGCAGCCCTTCGAAAATGTACAGAAGGCTGTTACTTTCTTACAGCGTAAGTAAATTATTTCTGTATTTGATACTATTGAAAATTCCCCAACGCCACGCTTCTACAATCGCATATAATTGTAATGAAGTGCCAGAATATTTACGTCGGGGTAGATAGAAGTACGTCCAGCTAGGAAACATGGTTAGAATCATTCCATGACTATCCGTGTGCCGAAAGTTAGGACACAATTGTAAATAGGAACTTACATATTTAAAAAAGATCATCTGACAAGAATAATATCAATCAACAGTCAATAACGAAGTTATTCCAATTACTGAATTATAGCTCTCTACGACCGGTTATCGTAGAACCTTTTGAACAACAAGACGATGTCGATGGATATCCGGATAAAAATCTACCACGCAAAAATCCTGAATTCTTCAAAGCGCGAGAAGTTGGCCCTAGGTTTGCCCAGGTTGGCAGCTTTGAGCACGAATATGGTACAAGATGGAAGCAGCTGCACGAACTGTATAAACAGAAAGAAGAGGCTTTAAAACGAGAAATGGCCATGGAAGAGGAAAAACTTGAAGCTCAAATGGAATTTGCCAGATACGAACATGAGACTGAATTGCTTCGAGAACGTATGTGTATTCGTCTTCGAATTTATTCTAATTGCAGCGTATTTACGTTAGTTCAATTTTTCATTGGTATTTAATTTGAAATTCACCTGTGACTATAGAATTGCGTATGCGCGAAGCTGATCGTGAAAGACAAAAAAGGGAATGGGAGATGAAGGAGCGACAAGCCGAGGAACAGAGAACGCGCGAAGAGGAATTACGAAGAAGGCAACAAGAAGAGATGACAATTCGCATTAGGAGACAAGAAGAAGAATTGCACAGGCGACAACAAGAAAATAACTTATTTATGCAGGTATAAGAACTTCTCCTTACACTTTCATTCTTGTATCTTCGTTTCTGCGATAACAGATGGTTATAAAATTAATGTATTTTTGTTTAAAGGAACAAGCCATTCGCGGAGGTGGCATTGGCGGTGGCAAAAATTACGATTCTGTCAGTAACAACGACCGTGATGGTTATGGTCAAGCAGACGGTAAGTGTTTTCAAAATTACTAACATTATTACTTTTTACTATTCTTGAACGAAACGCTTGAGAAAAACAATCTCGAGAAAATGCCAAATTAGAAACAAGCATTTGAATTACCCCTGATGCCACGCTTGTCTCTTCCTAATTTGAAGATTCGAAGTGCCAGTTATATTTTTAATCAGGGTAAAGAAAAATGAAGTCCAACTAGGAAACATCACGATACTTTATCATGTTTCTGTGGTGTGCCGAAAGTGAGGGTACAATTAAAATTATATACTAGAAAGTACGATAGCTTCCTACATATGAGAAACTCATACTTTTTCCATAATGGTATTCTCAATATTTTGTTTCAGGTGGGAACAGTTTGCCAGTGGTAACGTATTCCTCTTTTTATGATTATTCTCTTTTAACAGTATTTAAATCTCGAAATTTACTACTCTCTATCTGAATTTAGCGGAAATTTCTTCTCTTTTTTTATTTTTTTATTTTATTATTTCCCTTACTGTAATTTATCTGCTCTGATACTTGAAGAATACCAATATTGACGATTTATCGTCTCATAGAACGTGATATTCTGTAATCTGAAAGAAATGTCGGATTTACTTTTGCATGACTGTACAGTTGCTTCAACGGGAACTCCTACTGTCAATTTCTAAGAGTTTCTTCGACGATATTCTGTGTGTGCATGCTATTAACAGAGTTCTAATGTCTGCAACACTGCCGAGTCTTCCATTTTGCCACGGACTTAAGCTTTTCCAAGGTTCTAACAGTCGTGACGTATCTTCTGAAGACAAATTTGTCGAACGGCTTCGACACGTGGAGGCGTTAAACGGGCATTGGCCGTTGAATTTATCACACAATACATATATCTATCAGTCTGTTCAAGCGAACTAGCCTTTGCTACGATATCTAACACAACAAGAAAACAAAGCTTTCTGCCACGATAATGAAGTAATATAAATTTATATATACGTTTGACCTTAACACAAGGAATCTTCCCCCATGATACGGGGATTATATGATGTGTGTCAAAATAGGAAATCGAACACTCCGTATCAATTCCGAAATGAAATATCAAGCCCGACATATTAATAGGTTTTAAAAGTAAAAACAAACTATACTTAATAAAAAATCGTATCCTATCGGATTCGCCTATATGGAATTATATTCTACGCCGTGTTCTTCTCGATAAGAGGAATATCTCGCGAATCATTATGAAATGTCAACCTGAAAAATCTGTTGATATATCAAACTATATTTACCTAGCACACTCTTTGATAACATAATATAGTGTTATATTACGAATCCCACTGAATGTAACAATGATGAAATGCGTTAATTATTTTCGACGAAAGCGTTGATCTTATCATTGACTAAGGAATTGAAAGTTTTGAAAAAGTGGCGGTTTACTCAAACCGAGTAACAGAAACTGTAATCCACATTCGACGATATATTTGATACTCTGGACTTTATGTGAAATTGCCCTCGTTAGGCCTCTCCACGTGTTTGCAGACAGGAGGCTCTGTTTCTTAATATTTCTAGTTGTCATAAGGCTTAGGTTGTACCGAACTATGGAACTACAGAATTCGTACTACAGTTTACTTTCCCAATCTCAATTAGCGATATGCTTTCCTATCAATGCTTTTGTTCGGCGAGATTGTTGAACCCTCGATTAGGTAGTTCCATAGTGTTGAATTTTTATTTGCGGACCAAGAAATGCCCAACAATGACAGACCTTATTATCCACAGTACAATTGACTCTGCAGTAGCTACGAACCCAGCAATATTTTTATTCTCGACCGTACTCTGTAATCGATTTTTTTTTTTTAAATTCCGCGTCTAAAAATCTGCGAAAGTCGTTTCAGAGGGAGAAATGCAATGTCGAAGAGCTTGCTCGGAGACCCTGATCAAGTCTGCTTGCTGCTCGTATCACATTTCAACTCCCAAGTGATTTTCTTTCCAAGATCACTCGATTTCTTAGCTTTGGAAATATTTCTTTCTTTTTTACTCCAGTATTCGTGCAGTACCTCAGTACTGACGTGTACGCTTTATGAATTTAACATGGGTGGGACATATATATATATATACATACATACAAAAAAAAAAAGAACCAATTAAGGTTAACCTATCAAGGAAGAAACACTGCGACCTCTTTAACATAGAAAAATTTGAAATGCACTTTGTGCTTCTTCGCTCCACATTCATGAAAAGTCTCGAACAACCCAACGCGTCGTTGACATTTTCAAGAATGTCTACATGTATAGTCTTGCGCGTCTTCCTCTCTACGACAACCCTTATACTATACCAATTATTTAAGTGGACAGATAATGCTACGATTTTTTAATTTTTTAATTTATTTTTTGACAAACTGCTAGCTTTGGCGTACCTAAATTGTATGCCGAATGCGTACTGTACATATGAAATGGGGTAATCGTTTATTCCGTAAAAAAAGATGTTGAACTGGTGGGAGGGAGAGGGTGAGTCTGGGTTGGGCATTCGCTTGGTCCGGTCTAATTAATTAATTGATTGATTGATTACCGTGATGCGAGTGAGGTATCCCCAAATCGGAGTATACCTAACCTAAACGTATACTATACTCTTTGCTCTATACTCTGTTATAATTCTAGCGCGTGATAAGTTCACGCATTGATCTCTGATCACACGCAACTTCTAACATTGTGTTTTTTCCCCTTTCTTTTCTATGTGATTTGACGAAAATTGACGATGACCTGTGCGCTGCTGTCAAACATGGATGGTCGCCCTGAAACCGTGAAATGTATTAATGGTTCACCCAAACTCTACACATTACTGCGTCTTACGGTGCATACCGGAAATCTTCTCACAAATTCACGGGGCTTGGCCTATGTACGCTTACGTACCAATGCAAACGAAAAAAACGTGTATATGGTTCAATGCCACCACTGAAATGTCATTAATACGAACTTTACGACGTTTACATGAAAATGTGATTGATGCGTTGACGATGTGGAAAAAAAAAAAACACCAACTATAGGATCCAAAGTCCTTTATGGATGCATATAATAACATGGATCGTAATAATCGCGGGGGTTACAACGACGACCGCGGTCAAATAATGGATCTGATGGACATGAGAGTCGATATGGGCAACATGGGCAGCATGGGAAATATGGGAAATAATCGCGGTGGAGGTGGCGGAGGTGGTGGCGGTGGAGGTGGTGGAGGTGGTGGAGGTGGTGGTGGGGCTCGTTGGCAAGGTGGCAACGATCGGGGTCGTCAGGATGATTATCCGAACAAACGCAGACGATATTAGAGAACCCCGGAAGCCTTTACTCGAAATTAGCTTTACTTTTAGAAAGTCGAGAACAATAATTCAATATCGACGATATATGCTCTCCTGGCCTTTGGCCGTGCGGCTTCTGCTCGGAACGCGTTATTACTAATGCTACGTCCATCTACCACCGGCCGATTCCACTTATTCATTCGTCCCGTTGAAGTGCGTGGGCTTGGACGTCGCTTGAAAATATGAAAGTGACGAGGGGGAAAGGCGGTGCTTCGTATAATTACACAATAACGCGACTGCGAGTAGCTCTTAAATACTTGACTGGGATCCGGTCGATGGGGAAGAGCACGGTAGGACAGCCTTGCGGTTCCACCGCATGTCGATCGATAATGCCTGAGGTGTCCGATGTCCACAGCCTCCGTGACTTGACCTGCGAAAACTTTCTCATTCAGGCTGCTAAGAATTATTTCTGAGATGCGTGCAAGGGGTGCGTCGAAAATGAGAAAAATTTTAAGTTTAAAAGTGAAATGGATGAGAGAAAATTTGTCGAGAATTGGACCTACTCCTTAAATTTATTTCGCGTCTTGTGACGCGCAAAATCTTCGTCCTCTGGTTATGTCTGAGGAGAAAAAAGGGATATTCTTTTATATCTGATAGATTTTCTTTTCCCTTCAACACTACGTACGTTCATTTAAGAATACTTATCGATGCACCTAAGAACTTTGTATAGTATATTGTTTCGAAGAAGAATGTCCTGCGAGTCTTAACTGAAAGAATGAATTCTTTATGAAAGAATCAACGATTCTTTGAGAGGCTGCTTAATCTAACCATCGCGACCTCGTCGCCCTTTAATCACGCGAAGATGTCCTCTCGTGACTAAATTTATTATTTGATCAATCATTCGTTATTAATCTGTCGATCAAGACGCATTGAAAGAACATCTCGGATTGAGACGAGATAGCGCATCTACCTTGTGACCATCGTAATTTTTATACATTTCTGTCTGTTCACAGTGGCGATTCGAATTGTCAGGGGAAGAATTATTTCGAAGCAAGTTCGAATCGCCCATTGGGAAACTGATATGGTGTATTCTTTCTCACGAGGACTGAACATTCTGTTTGAACCGGCTGTAAGATTGATTTGTACGTTACGTAGGATAGGAGTGGCCCTAGTTACTAAGCTGAAAGAAAGAGGAAAACGTGACTGAAACGGACGTTGGTCTGTTTAAGAAATATGCGTGAAGTTCTTGAGTGATCCTCCGCGGATCGTACAATGACGATAGTAGTATTAACATTAAGTTTACTTATCTTTGCGAAATTGGTTATTATGCCGAACCAAGAGTCGCGAAGGGCTCGATCAATGGGAGCGTTGTATGGCTTTCTCTCGTCTGCAAATGCTCGATCGAGTTATTACTTAATTTTAGAGTAAGGCCTTTATATGATAAATAACGGGCCAGGGCCGCCCGAACTTTGTCAAGGAACTTCGTCGTCAGAGACATAATTTTATCAATAAAGTTCTAAAAATAAATATATTGCTTGCGTAGAAATTGATAGAAATTGTCGAATGAAACGTAACCGAAGGGGGGGTAGTAAGAAATTTGTATTGAAACCTGAAGTAACACTTCTTAAAATCGTGTCCACGATTTAACCAAAATCCAGCGTGTACACTCTGTGGTACATGGTTTTCTACTGGGCAGTTATTAGGAGCAAGGTTGTATTCTTTTCTCTTCTGAAATGCCAATCTTTAGAAATTTGGTCTCTTGGTGTCGTGAAATACTCTGTAGGAGGAATATCGAAATTTGTTAAAAATTATAATCGGTCGTCAACGTTGGCAACTGTGATTAGTAGATGACTGTAATTTCATACGTGTAAAAGATGTTTTTAGGTAAATTATTGAAGGGCTTTTTTTCTTTGATTAATCGCACAGGAATACCGTCGAATTTTATGATTTCGAAAAAGAAGCTTGTTTAATTTTTTAATTTTCCCATTAATTGGACAACCTTTTTTCTAGTAACTTTAGCTCGAAAAATGTTAATCTCTACAATATGGCTTTACTACGTAACACGTGAACGTGATCGTGTTTCGTTCGACGAAATCACCAATGAAAGTTGAAGCTCCATCGTCAGACATAAATCAAGCTACTCTGAAAACTTCTTCCAATTCAACTGAAAGCTCTGTAGATCGCTTTAGAATTTGTAATGGCGATCATCGCAAGAGAAGACGTTCGTGCGACGTTTACGCACGAGTATCGATTCTACGCAACGACCGAAGGAATGAAAATTATCGAGATGATCTTGTCGATGTAAGGAAAACTTAGCTAAGACGATGGTAGTATTTAAACGATTTCTCAATTTATTTACTTTTTTTTTTTATTTATCATTTTACAATTTTAATACGTCTTCGCATCGAATGTTTTCTTTAATTCAAGTGTATCTTTGGATCGGTGCACCTGCGTGCACTCCCTTTATTTTTTTTTAATTTCTTCCTCCAATTTTTCCTCGTGTTTCCAATAGCTGGCACAGATTGTCTACTGTTTTCGAATATGCTTTTAACATTGCAAACTTTTCAATGCATCAATTCTTCGTTTACCTAGAAGTAAAAAAAAAACATCTCGTGTTTCAACCGTGTTCAATAGCTTTCACACCGAGTACGCTTCATATTTGTTATCGGTCATTGGATGAGATGAAAAAAAAAATTCATTGTTCAATATGAATCTTTCCCAAAATTATTGGAAATTGTAGTTTTTCTTTTCTCGTGACAGCTGTGTCGATATACCTGTGTTTACAGTTGCAACATTATTATCCGAATTGAACGTAATCAATCACGACTGAGAATGAGTCATTTTAGCGGAGGAGAGAACTGCAATGACAAGATAGGCTTACTTACTTGAAAACCACTAGTCATTGAACCACTGTGTAACGAGGTGAGTAGACTTTGTGAAAATGTTATTAAAGGTAATTTAACTTTATGTATTCGGGACCCGGGGATGGACACTCTTTGTGTCTAAAGATGCATGGACGATAAAAAGAGAAATGGATAGAAATAAAAAAAAAAGTGCAATTTATTTGATAATATCAATAATCAATTGCATTCGATATGAATCTCTTTTTAACAGTATACCTGTATATGCTCGATAACGAGGACCTGACCTTACGAAGATTTTCGTATACAAAATTCATACGAATTACCTGAATAACTGCAATACGACAGCCCCGGTGTATATTTATCTCTGCCTATGACAACCCGACATATTTGAACACGAATTATTCTCACGAGTTGTCTAGGTGTTTCCCATTGAAAACAACCTGGGCTGTTCTACAATATATCTTTTTAGCGAATAAGGAATTTTCTCGTGGGTGGGAATAGAAGGTTCTTAACAAGCGTTTTATCGCGCTGATATATTTTTTTTGGTCTTGAAGGAATATTATCTTATTGGCAAAATTTGCAAAAAGTACATCGTGCCACGGCTTCTCAACTACACGAATAACATTCTCATATATTGTCCTACAAATAAATATTATTTTACCATGACATGCTAGAGTCAACTAGAACTCGTGCTTGGCATGCTTGACAATCGCGTTGATAAAGTGTCATAAGCAATAATTTGCTCATTACAGGATTGTTTCTTCGTGAAATTTGCTACACGACAATTAAGCTATACACTTACGGATGTCGTAATACGTCTAATCGCATTTTATGTACTCGCACATACCTTTCACGGTGACTGCTACCACGTGAACATGCGTTTTTCAACGAGCTGTTTTGACGCTGAATTCAGAAATTTTCAGAAAACCCACAGAGAGCGCGTTCTTTAATCGAGGACTAGGGATTTTTTCACTCTAAGAGAAACTAATTGAAGATTTAGATATAGCGATACTCGTCTCGAGATTACCCGAAACTTTGTTCTCACGGTATTCTCTTATGATTACAGATATGCGCAGCTGTCGGATGAGAGAGGGACACTCTTAGGCTCTCTTTTTTCAGGTGAGTTATTGCGAATATTGTTAAGTAACTTGGAAACGTATCAAAAATATACTTCATTTTATTATTTTTGAGCTTTTCTTTGAAAGCTTATGTACGTGTGTCCATAAGGACGCGTGATCTTGAGGAATGTAAATGTTTTTAGAGCAAAAAAATTTTTGAATCACGTTATTTTTAACGCGATCAGATGATGACTAATGTTAGGTTAGAACTTGAACAATTTCATGATTAAAATCATATTTACTGATGTAATTCTTGAAATTATTGACCTTCTCGCTACGAATCTTGTCACTGATTATAATCAGTTCTCCTTTTCTTCCTTTACAAAACTCGCCGTGTCATGGCAGCTGGCTCATGGACACTTGTTCTACTCGTCAAGACTTGGACTTGTAAAACATTTATGGGAAATGTAAGGACTCTTGTGGAAATATTTATTTATAACCCTTTTGAATATTTTTTATTCAAGTGATCTTTATCTCGAGTTTATTACATGATGATAACATCTTTCGGGTCTGAAAAATTTGATGCCAACATTTCCCAACGTGTTTTACTGATTTTACCCACCTGATCTATTAGTATTGTGCGGTAGTGTCTGTATTTACATTAAATGAACGTTTATTCATTACAGAAATGTTGGACCAACAGGAAGTAGGAGATCAATTTCGCTCCAGAGACCTTTGCAATTTTGATATATGCTCAGCTGTCGGATGAGAGGGACACTCTTAGGCTCTCTTCTTCGGGTGAGTTATTGCGAATATCATTAAATTACTTGGACACATTAAAAATATACTTCATTTTATTATTTTTGACTTTTTTTTTTTAAAGCTTATGTACGTGTGTCCATAAGGACGCGTGATCTTGAGGAATGTAAATGTTTTTAGAGCAAAAAAATTTTTGAATCACGTTATTTTTAACGCGATCAGATGATGACTAATGTTAGGTTAGAACTTGAACAATTTCATGACGAAAATTATATTTACTGATGTAATTCTTGAAATTATTGACCTTCTCGCTACGAATCTTTTCACTGATTATAATCAGTTCTCCTTTTCTTCCTTTACAAAACTCGCCGTGTCATGGCAGCTGGCTGATGGACACTTGTTCTATTCGCCAATACTTGGACTTGTAAAACATTCATGGGAAATGAGAGGACCCTTGTGCAAATATTTATTTATAACCTTTTTGAATATTTTTTATTCAAGTGATCTTTATCTCGAGTTTATTACATGACATGGACACTTGTTCTACTCGTCAAGACTTGGACTTGTAAAACATTTATGGGAAATGTAAGGACTCTTGTGGAAATATTTATTTATAACCCTTTTGAATATTTTTTATTCAAGTGATCTTTATCTCGAGTTTATTACATGATGATAACATCTTTCGGGTCTGAAAAATTTGATGCCAACATTTCCCAACGTGTTTTACTGATTTTACCCACCTGATCTATTAGTATTGTGCGGTAGTGTCTGTATTTACATTAAATGAACGTTTATTCATTACAGAAATGTTGGACCAACAGGAAGTAGGAGATCAATTTCGCTCCAGAGACCTTTGCAATTTTGATATATGCTCAGCTGTCGGATGAGAGGGACACTCTTAGGCTCTCTTCTTCGGGTGAGTTATTGCGAATATCATTAAATTACTTGGACACATTAAAAATATACTTCATTTTATTATTTTTGACTTTTTTTTTTTAAAGCTTATGTACGTGTGTCCATAAGGACGCGTGATCTTGAGGAATGTAAATGTTTTTAGAGCAAAACGTTGTTTGAATCACGTTACTTTTAACGCAATCACATGAGGACTAATGTTAGGTTAGAACTTGAACAATTTCATGACGAAAATTATATTTACTGATGTAATTCTTGAAATTATTGACCTTCTCGCTACGAATCTTGTCACTGATTATAATCAGTTCTCCTTTTCTTCCTTTACAAAACTCGCCGTGTCATGGCAGCTGGCTCATGGACACTTGTTCTACTCGTCAAGACTTGGACTTGTAAAACATTTATGGGAAATGTAAGGACTCTTGTGGAAATATTTATTTATAACCCTTTTGAATATTTTTTATTCAAGTGATCTTTATCTCGAGTTTATTACATGATGATAACATCTTTCGGGTCTGAAGAAGTTGATGTCAAATATCCCAACGTGTACTGATGCAATTCTTGATGATTGTTTATACGCTATGAATCATTAGCAATTCTGATCAGATTGTTCTCTCTTTTATTACAGAAATCGCCGTGGGATGGCTGCTGGTTGATGGACACGTGCTCAGCCGAATCATTAGCAATTCTGATCAGATTGTTCTCTCTTTCGTTACAGAAATCGCCGTGGGATGGCTGCTGGTTGATGGACACGTGCTCAGCCCTGAACTATCCATCACGAATTGGACTTGGAAACATTTATTGAAAATGTAAGGAGCCTTGTGCAAATATTTGTACCCCTTTTGAATATTTTTCTGAAGTTCATTACATGATGATAACATCTTTCGGGTCTGAAAAATTTGATGCCAACATTTCCCAACGTGTTTTACTGATTTTACCCACCTGATCTATTAGTA